GTGGCAGCTGGCATGAGAGCGAAATTCCCCCCACGGGATTGCCCTGAACGCCGGGGCTGTTCATCCCAGCCTTTGAAGCACATGGCACGGACAGGGGCAGGACTAGATGGAGCATCGCTGGGATCCAGAGCTGCAGGGGAATAACCTGCCAGCCTCACAGTCAGTACAGCAGGGAGACGTCGCCTAGACTGGTGTGGTCCTGTACAGCGGGGTACAGAGCACTGGTCTAGCTGGAGCACTGCCCTGGATGGGCCAGTGGTCTGCTCCGGTACAGTGGCTCCTACGCCCGTCTTGTTTGCTCCGATGTCTTGGTGGCAGACCTGACCTCTTGTGCTTGTCCTCTAGGAGGGGCAACACAAGCGTGTGATGATGCTGCAGTGCTACCTCACGCCATTTCCGTGCAATGCAGCCGTGCAATGTACGCCATTTCCGTTCATGCAATTCCGTGCAGTGCTACCTCACGCCATTTCCGTGCAATGAAGCCATGCAATGCACGCCATTTCCGTTCATGCAATTCCGTGCAGTGCTACCTCACGCCATTTCCGTGCAATGAAGCCATGCAATGCACGCCATTTCCGTTCATGCAATTCCGTGCAGTGCTACCTCACGCCATTTCCGTGCAATGCACGCCATTTCCGTTCATGCAATTCCGTGCAGTGCTACCTCACGCCATTTCCGTGCAGCGGCATCACGTGCCAACATGCCTGTCCGACACGGAGGCGGCGTTATGTTGTGATGCCTCATCGCTGCACCCTGGGACCCAAACAAATTCCCGCCTCTTTACTAGCCTTGCAGGGGCACTCAGGGAATGGCCCCCACGCTGACGGGAACTCACCCGTTCCCTCCCAGCGCTGTCTGTACCTGGGGGAAGTTCCTGGGTGTGCAGCGCTGTCGCTCATGCTGGCCTGTGTATTCTCTCCAAGATTCTACGGCTGGGAAGGACAGATCTAACCTTCTGGTCTGACCTTGGGCATGGCATTGGGCAGAGACCCTCACCCAGGGAGTCCTGCAGAGCAGCAAACACTTCCTCCCTTCTGCGTGACGCCAGCAGTAGTTTGTGGTTGAACCAGGGCATATCCTCTAGAAGAAGATCATAAGAACGGCCAGACTGGGTCAGACCAAAGGTCCATCTTGCCCAGCTTCATGTCTTCCGACGGTGGCCAATGCCAGGTGCCCCAGAGGGAATGTACAGAACAGGGAATCATCAAGTGATCCATCCCCTGCCGCCCATTCCCAGCTTCTGGCAAACAGAGGTTAGGGACACCATCCCTGCCCATCCTGGCTAATAGCCATTGATGGACCTGTCCTCCATGAACTTATCTAGTCCTTTTTTGAACCCTGTTATAGTCTTGGCCTTCACAACATCCTCTGGCAAGGAATTCCACAGGTTAACAATGTGTTGTGCGAAGAAATACTTCCTTTTGTTTGTTTTAAACCTGCTGCCTATTAATTTCATTTGGTGTCCTCTAGTTCTTGTGCTATGAGAAGGCGCCAATGACACTTCCTTATTCACTTTCTCTACACCAGTCATGATTTTATAGACCTCAATCATATTCCCCCTTAGTTGTCTCTTTTCCAAGCCGAACAGTCCCCGTGTGATTAATCTCCAGTCTCGATTTAAAGACGCCACGGACGGAATGGAGTCGCCACCACATCCCTGGGGGAGCCATTTCAACCGCTGCCAACGGGCAGCTCATTTCCAGTTTGAATTGTTCTATTGCCCAGCTGTTGGGTCTCATTCTGCCTTCATCTGCTAGATTCAAGAGCCCCCGGTCTCCTGAGACGGCAGATTGGGCTTATCTGCAAGGAATGCACAGTCCTGGCTTGTCTCGCTCAGACGCAGGGAGTGGAAACGGTTAACCCGACACACGGCGGTACATCTGCTTGGGGGAACATGTGAGGTAGCCCCTGTCAGCGACGGGCCCCTTCACCTTCCCCTGTTAAAGAGAGAAATGAAATTATCAAAGGCTTGGAGTCCGCTGATCAATGTGTTTTCAGAACACCTAAAAACCCTCAGCCCACAGCTCTCCCTGTTATTTCACTCACCCATTGCCTCTGCTTAAAAGCTGACCTTTGCTCCTTGTTTGATGTAACATGTTTATGCGTCTCGGGCGCCCACAGATAAAAGGTTAGAGGTTAATAAATGGTGGAAAAATAGATACCAAAGCTTTGAGGTCACACCTGTTTCTGTTGCTTTAGGTTCCATGCTGCAAACATCCAGCCGGATTGTAATTGTATTGTAGCAGGGAGCATTCCTGCGTTTATATGAGGATAATTGAGAGGCACTGCCTTGGGGGCACAGGGAGAGGCATCCAGATGCCTCCGCCAGATAGCAGATGCCCTCTCCAGCTCTCACACATACACACACGTTCACCAGCACACACGCACGCGTGCACCCCCCCACACTGTTAACGCCCGTCCCCCACCCCCCAGTTGCCAACGATCACCCCGCCAGCACGCTCCCACTCAGGCATTCCCAAGCACCCTCACTCAACTGGTCACCAACAAATGGCACCAGGGCAAAGCCGACCGGCACACGCTCCGGAGCTTATCAGCACACACGCCTCACCAGTACACACACGTGTGTCCATACCGCCAGCACCCCACACACTCACAGGTGCAGCACGTTCCTGCCAGGCAGCCTGACCCATATCCCACACGTCCGTGCACGGCGCCAGCACACGGACACCCCAATCGCACGTGGACCAACACTCTCACACTTCACAAGGCACAGTTCCCTCACGCTCCGGCAACGGCCAGCACACATACGTGCCACCGGCCAGATACATGCAACTCCACACTCCCTTTGCACTTATTAATTGTCTGCACTGTGGTCACATCTGGGAGCCCCAGTCACGGAGCAGGACCCCATTGCGCTAGGTGCTGTACGCACAGAACAAATAGTCCCTGCACCGAAGAGCTACAATCTAAGTATAAAACAAAAGACAACAGGTGGCTACAGAGAGCCCGTCTCTGCCACCTCTCTCCTGTCTCCCAGGGTCGGGCACAGCTTTGCAGGAACGTGGCAGGCCTGTCTTCTGTCAGCTCTGGTAAAGAAACGAAATCTCGACCTTTCTCGGCATCACACTGGATGCGGGAGTAGAAGTGTCTCTCTGCGACAGTCTTCTCCTCCGTCGCTTCGCCTGCACGGTCTCTGGGTCTGCCCCTAGCTTTCGCGCTGCCAGAGTCCACCCTACGGCACTCGCGGTCACTGCTGGGTGCTTGGCGATTGCTCACCTTTGTTCTGCACTGTTCGCTGGAGCCGGGCACTGTGCTGTCAGGGAGCGGTTACAGTCTGGCTGGGTTTGGGCTGCTCCTTCCATTCACGTGTCTGTTGGCGGCTGGGGTCTCTGACCTACCGTTGGCTTCGGGTGAGGTTATTTGCTCCGCTGCTCAAGAGGTTGGTACGTGGCGCCTGCGCCGTGACACGCCACAGGAGTGGGTGGGGCTTTCACTGGGACTTGGCTTGAGGTGACACCAGAAGTTGAATGTTCTTTTGGTGGGTTTAGATTTGTATGAAGACGAAACCAGGCCCATATAGGCTCTTCACATGACCTGAGACTCCATCCCCCGTCACATCCCAAGGGCACCGCCGACCAGGTCAGCACAACCCACCAGCAGCAAGCCAGGCGGTGCGAAAGCCCCCGCACGCTGCAGGAGAATGGGCTGCATTCGGTTACAGAAGAGCGTTCACAGCAGTTGCACTGCAGGGCCTGAGCTCGCTAATCATTTCTTGGTGGCAGAGGAGGCCCAGGGAGTTTATACCCGAGATGCGTTTATGGCCAGCGAGAAGCTCCTTGGGGCATTTATAACCAGGATGTCTAATTATGATAACAACACCCCAGGATGTCTAATTCAGGCCATCTTCAGTTTGTGTGCATCTCAAATCAAAGTGTAGAGCCCAATTGGCCCCACCAGACTCCAGTCCCAGTGGAATCACACTGCTGTCGAGGTGGACCAGGGCGGGGGAGGGGGAAGCAAGCTCTGTTTGGGTGATTTTCCAGACAGATCGCGATTTTTAACTTTTCCAGGTGGGCCTGCACAGTTCAGGCATTGCCGCGGCTTTCTAGGAATCAGTTCCTATGGACATCATATTGCCTAGGGGACAGTGCGACCAAGGCACCAACAGCACAGAGACAACGTTTCAACTGAGGCCTGGGCTGTGCACTGGTTTCACTGGTCGGTGTGATCTGAAACCACTTTAGTTAAACCGGTGCAAACCGTCATGTGGACTCATATCACTTGTATTGCTGTAGCTGGCATTGGTCCATTCGCAAGGGCAAGCCAGACCTACTGGACAGCTATGGCCATTCTCTGAGTGGATCCATGCAGGCAGGGCCGGCTCCAGGCTCCAGCCCAGCAAGCAGGTGCTTGGGCGGCCAAGGGAAAGGGGCGGCACGTTGGGCTGTTCGGCGGCAATTCGGTGGCAGTTCCCTCTGGGAGGGAAGCACATGCTGCCAAATTCCCGCCGAAGAAGAAAGCGGTGCGGTGGAGCTGCCGCCAGAGTGCCGCCGATCGCAATTACGGCTTTTTTTTTTCTTCCGCCGCTTGGGGCGGCAAAAACCCTGGAGCCGGTCCTGCCTGCAGGACTTTGTATGGTGTTAACGAGCTGATTTTTTAACCCAACGTCACTGAAATTGCCGCAACTGTTGTGTGTAGCCGGGGTCTGGGTCAGACAGAGGGGGTCTCCCGCTTCAGGACTGGCCCGCATCGAAGAGATTAGTACCTGGATTTAATGGTAGCCTACGATTTCCCACCCGTCCCATTTTGGAGCAAGGTCCGGTTTCTAGGATGCCAGGTTAAGACCAGAGCTTTTGTGAAGTCTATGGAGCAGGCACATCTCTGTCCCACTTCCGCCTGCACTAAGGAGCACATATGTGCCGGGTGGCTGGTTTATCGGGGGATCCCCGGGTGAGTTCTTGGATTCCGTTGCTGCTGGTCAGGTGTCCCATTAATTCCTCTGGAATTCACCCCAGGCAGCAGCCTGTGTGCATCCCCGCATGCACCCCACTCGCTTCATCTACTTGGGCCTCACCCCAGTGAGTGTCACTCTTAGGGAGGATGCTGCAGGATAACTAGATGGTATTACAGCTCAGAGGGATACAGGCGTTATTGGGCGTGAGGGCATCTCCATGTGTGCATCTTGGGATCATTCATCCCGGATTAGAGGGGTAGGTTAAATCATTGGAGAAGGGGCTTTCTGGATGTAGTCAGTGCTGTCTTTCCAGGCACCGTTGAGTTTGAGATTTCGTATCTGGGGTTCCGTGGGTTCTGCCCGGCTATGGGGGTGTGTGTGTGTTAGTTTTTAATGGCGTTTTCTAGCTTAATTGTTTTTAAAATGACTTTGTTTTGTTCTCGCCTGATTGTTGGCTTGGATTCCTTTGTATGTTTTGGAAATCCATTCCGGATTGCTGAGTTTTGTTTCTTTTCAATGGGTTTAAATTCTTCCCAGCTTTGCCAGGAGGAATTGGTGTCTATAGCGGCTTCGATTTGCGCTAATTTTTCCTCCGTGTGCTCTGACTTTTACTGCTGGCGCATTGATCTGTGGCTGCGCCGTTTGTCATGCTCAGTGGAGCAGAGGCTAGCACCAAGTGGGCCTCGCAGTTTGAAACTGGCGAGATCCCTCACTTTGATTCTTAGTTTAAGGGAACCTGTATCGAGCCATTTGTCTTCTCCTCTCCTCCTTTCAGAGCCGCACTCCTCTCTTGCTGGCCGTGTGGGTCGGGACTGCGTTGCTCTGCAAAGTCTCTTGCAGCGACGTTATTGCCTTTGGCCTTAGTGTCTGGTCAGGAACGTGTCCGTTAGGTTTTCGGTGACGAGGGTTTTCCCAGTTCTCTCCTGTTTGCCTTTGGACTCATATCCCCAGATCTAATGCTTGGCTGATCTCCAGGGGCAGTTCCATGGGCTTTGTTCTGAGGCAGGGCCAGCGCCCGTTGGCTGCGCTCCCACCCGGATGGTCAGGGTTCGACTAGGAGCCGAAGTCTAGGTCCATTATGACATAGTTGCTCTGATGCCTTTTGCTGAGCCACGGGGAAATCTGCCTAGGACGTCTCCTCTTCCTCTATCGACCAAGGCCTTTGACACCTCCAGAGTGTGCATGCACGCATTGACAGCACACACCCGCGTACACGTCAAACCTAGCGCTCCTCTTGGGGCCTGACGGGCGTGGGAATGACCCCCACAGCTCCTGGCTGCAGCCAGTAAGTATTAGAATCCTCCTTATTTTGCAGAAGGGTACACTGAGGCACGGAGGGCCCCGGCCATTTCCAGGTGCAACTCCAGTGAAATCACCTGGGATGAATTTGCCCCGTGATGTGATATGACCAATTTATACCCAGCGAGTCAGTGGCAGAGCCTGGAAACCCCCACACCCCGCCCCTCCCCACAGACATCTCCTGACTCCTGGTGTTGCACTGTCTCCATTACACGGTGCTCCTTGTCTGGAACCCAGAGAAAGAGAGAGGCGGGTGCATGCACGGACTCCCAGGTTCACTAACCCACACGCACACTGAGCAGTGAACTCACAGACCCCTTCCCCCACCCCCACCCCGGCGCACACGCCTGCTTCCCTCGTGCGGGGGGGGAGGGGGACTAGGAAATGTCCCAGAGCCCTGGCCGGGAGAGCAGCTGCAGCAGCCAAGACACACTAGTCTGTGAAGCAGGCCAAGGGGAAGTGGTTTTGGCAGCGGCTCCCCGTGGGCCTCCCCCGTTGGCTGACCTGCCTGGTGAATATCATTTACTGCGGCTGAGCCAGCAGCCTCAGCGGGGGCTGCTGCACGGCCCTGCTGACCCCCGCTCCAGCCATCGAGGGGGCTTGTGTCTTTAGTTCCTCTCTTCTCCCCGCAACTCAGGACAGGCTGTGCTTATCGGCCTGTCAACAGCCCATCTCCTGGGTCAGGTGCCTGCTCCCAGCGCTTCACGGACCGTTAGCAAGTGTCCAGCCCCAACCCCAGAGGGCTGTTAACTCTCCTGGGGGATTACGTGGCTCTGTCTATAACCAGGTCGCAGGCCTGGCCTGGCTCCCGTTGCCATTCATGCCAACAGCAGCAAGATCAGGCCCAGACCTAGCCTGAAAGGAAGCTTTGGCCATTCTGTTCTCTCCCCTTGCTCCCAGGCCGGCCGGCCGGCGGTAAGTGCCATGCTGCCAGCAGGCTGTGTGCGGAGGCCCCTGGGCAGCGCCAGGGCCACGTTGCAGGGCGCTGGGGAACCCCTCGGGCAGGGGAAGAGCTGCTGGGCGTGGGGAGGTGACCAGGCCAGACCGGCCTGAGCAGCGCACAACATGGGGCGGGGCAGGGAGTGACGGGGCAGCACGACTCGCTTCCAGACAAAGGGCCTGATCCGGAGCAGGGCTGAGCACCACCCGTCGCACTGTGCAGTCAGTGGAGGTGCCTGGGGGTCGGGGCCCCTATTGTTCTCCAGGGGCACTTGGTTTTGTTCAGTGATTGGTACATATCACCCGCCCTCGTTTAACACTCAAGCAGCTGGTCAGCCAGGGTCACCGCCGTTTGCTGACTGAGGATCTTCCCCTAGCCAAGGAGGAGGCCGGCTGAGTCTCATCCCAGCCGAGGCAGGACCAGTTTCTCTTTACTGATTTCCCCCTGTTGCTCCTAGTTCTCCCCACCTCAGTGAATTCCCTGCCCACCCTGCCAAAGATCCCGAGGCTGCCTACGCCTCTCCTTGTGGTTTGGCCAGGTGCAGCGCAGCCCTGCGGCTTGGGATGTTCAGGAGTAGTCTGGAGCGTGCACTGGGCTCGGGGAACTCTGCTAGCCTTCCCGAGAAGCTGGTTCCTCCAGACCCCTAGTGGTTCCCGCTGCTCTTCTCTGAACTCCCTCCCATCTCCCCATGCCCGGCTGGTCGAGGTGTGCCCAGAACGGAACGTGCTAGCGCACTATTGCCCTTGCACTGGGACCGTATCGGCCCCCGGCTCTGGGAAGACACGTCTCTGCCTCCTACTGGCCGGTTTGGTTGTTCTGGGGCATTGCGGGATCAGACGTAGTTTGCTCTCCCCGCTCCCTATCGGGCCTCTGCAGCAATCGCGGCTTCCCAGACTTCCCCCGCCCAGCGAGGACTCTGCATTTCCCATTGTTCTCCCCCACATGGATTTGCTGTAGTGTTCGAAAATGACTCCCATGTGGGTATTTTCTGGCCATGTTTCTAATCACTCTGGGTCCCTTGATGTTCTTTCTCTGCTCTCCCTGCTGTTGGCAATTCCTCTTCGCCTCACGTCAGCTGTGAACATCATTAATGTGCCACTCACCCCTCTTCCGGAGCATTAATGACCATCCTTCATCCCAATCCTGCACTGCTCCTCCAAACACCTCCCGCACTTCAGCATCTTGCTGGTTGTCCTTGCTGGTGTTAAGGCCCTGCAGGTATTCTTCTCCCACGTAGCAGAATCCATGCCCACGACAATTTTAGTTTTGCAAACATTAAGTATTTGGTGAGATACAGAATCAAATATGCTACAGAAATCCCGGTACATTCCAGCTCACTCATTTCCTTCGTCCCCCAGTTTTGCAACTCTGTATATACATAAAAGAGCAAATGATTTTTCCCTGGAATATTTTTCTTCCTTTATAAACTCATACTGCTTATTGTCCATCATTCAATTATCCTCAAGATATTTACAATTCTTTCCCTGCTAATATTTCCTCCAGTGTTTCACTGGGGCCTGATGTCAGAATTATTCAGCAGTAATTGTCAGGATCACTCTTTCTTCTTTTTTTGAAAATCTGCAGCACATTTACTTCAGTCTGGTCCTTCCCACTGCCTCAGTGCCCCTTGGCTTTTAAAAAATAATTGTGAATGGTTTGGTAAAGCCATAAGCTCATTCCCTTGGCATGCTGGGATGTATGTTATCCTGATTCACTGAACTGTGTATGTTCCAATTCTGCAATGACCCCTCTACCCGATCTTCATTAATATCTGTTTTTGCGAGATCTTCATTGATTCTCTGCTGTCCATATGCCACTTCTTTATTTCTCTTGTTAAAGACAGACTTTTCAAACAGCAGCTCAAATCTCACCCACTTTAGAGTCAGCATCTGTAGATACATTTCTGTGGAGATACAGGGAGTAGCTGAACAGAATGATTGCACTGGATTGGAAAGAGCAATGGGTGATGTCACAGGGAATGCCTGTCAGATTCCTAGGGGGATTTCTGAGCTGTTATTGGCTGGTATCCTTCTCTTATGTAATGTCATAATGTTCATTCATTAAGCACGTATAGAGGTGCTTTTCACCAATAAATCACAAAGCACTTTAAAAAGGCTGGTATATTACAGGTGGGGAAACCGAGGCACAAGAATTTGGCCTCGTTGCTGAGGATGACAAGGACACCAATTACAGTCAATGATGATACAGAGAGCTAGGGCACTAGGAACGGGACTGAGAACCCCGTTTCACAGAAGCCACCAAACAGCTGTCAGACGGGTTCAGAGCGGGACATCCCCCAACAGAATACCAGCCCCCTGAGCAATCCAAGCCCAGCCATGGGGCTTTATTTAATTGCCACGTTTGATGCGGAGAGCTCACCTGTGGTGGGGAGGCAGCCTGCTATTCGGACCAGCCTTGCTCAGCTATTCAGAAGCATTCTTCCCCACATTCTTCCCCAGCGCTCCTGCAGAACCAGTTAGCGAGGGGGCTGCGGACGGGGGCTGCCCAAGGGTGGCACAGCCGGAGCGACCGGCGCTCGGTTAGCCAGAGGTGAGCCGCGAGACCGGCTGACGCGCTGGGCTGACTTCACCCGGGGGCAGGGAATGGCAGAGAGGCCGGTGCAGCTCCGCCTGCCCGGGGATGCGCTTGGCCCTGTGCAACCCATGTCATGTCAGGCTGGGAACCCGGCCAGGTGCCAAGCTGGGGGCGTCTGCTGGAGGGCCAGAGAATTTTACAACCCCCGCGCCAGAAACACGTGTGATCCGAGGGGGGGGTAGCAGAGCTGGGGGGAAGGGGCCGCCCCACGTCACTCTGCTCAGTGCAGCACCGGCGGGGAAAGGAACCTCCCTGGCCCAGCAGCTGGGTGGTGATCACAAGGTCACCCCTGCTCCTGGGACAGGGGTTTAACTGCGAGCTGCTCAGCAGTGGCCTCTGCTGGCAGAGGTGGGAATAGCAATAGGTACCTAAGGTACCTTTAAGGCCCCCTTTGCCATGGTATCTGGGCACTGCGCAATCAGTAACGTATCTACCCCAGCCGAACCCCTGGGAGGCAGAGCACGGCTGTTATCTCCACTGTTCGGATGGGGGAACTGAGCCCAATCTTATTACTCTCTCCTCATACGGAAGCTGTTCCAAACCCCTCGTCATTTTTGTTCCCCTTTTCTGAACCTTTTCCAATTTAAATATAGCTCTCTTGAGATGGGGCGACCAGATCTGCACACAGTATTCAAGGTGTGGGTGTACCATGGATTTATACAGAGACAATATGATATTTTCTATCTTTTTATCTCTCCCTTTCTTAATGATGCCCAACATTCTGTTCGCTTTTTTGACTGCCGCTGCACATTGAGTGGATGTTTTCAGAGAACTCTCCACACTGACTCCAAGATCTTTCTTGAGTGGTAACAGCTCATTTAGACCCCATCATTTTATATGTAGAGTTGGGATTATGTTTTCCAATATGCATTACTTTGCATTTATCAACATTGAATTTCATCTGCCATTTTGTTGGCCAGCCACCCAGTTTTGTGAGATCCCTTTGTAGCTCTTTGCAGTCCGCTTGGGACTTAACTATCTTGAGTAGTTTTGTATCATCTGCAAATGTTGCCACCTCACTATTTATCCCTTTTCTGAGATCATTGATGAATATGTTGAACAGGACTGGGCCCAGTACAGACCCCTGGGGGACACCACTATTTACCTCTCTCCATTCTGAAAACTGATTGTTTATTCCTACCCTTTGTTTCCTGCCTTTTAACCAGTTACCGATCCATGAGAGGATTTTCCCTCTTATCCCATGACAGTTTACTTTGCTTTTGGTGAGGGACCTTGTCAAAGGCTTTCTGAAAATCTAAGTACACTATATCCACTGGATCCCCCTTGTCCATGTGCTTGTTGATCCCATCAAAGAATTCTAGTAGATTGGTGAGGCATGATTTCCCTTTACAGAAACCTGTTGACTCTTCCCCAACACGTTATGTTCATCTCTGTGTCTGACAATTCTGTTATTTACTATAGTTTCAACCAGTATACCCGGTACTGAAGTC